TACAACATCGTCTTTTCCCTGGCTAGACTGAAAGCCAGTCAGACTGGAGCGAATACCTAGCGAAAATGAATTGAATCGTGTGTATGTACATATCTAGTAAACACATCATGAAAGATCCCCGTGACACCCTCTGCCGAAAGTAGTTCGCTACGCTACAAAATTAAGACTGTGTTATAGAATCGTATGTAAGTCCCGGGATTTTCGAGTGACGAGTTCCCAGGGGTTGTATCTTTTTTCTTTTTGGTCATCCCACCCATGTACAGCGCGAGGAAGCACCAAGACGTCGGCTCCGGAAGCATAACCGATACTAAGTACGAGACACAGCATGATATGTTCATGGTCTAGTGGTCTCTGTGAGCTCCGGCCCTAGAACAGCGGCTCCCTCGCCGTGTAGACCATGTTCAGCAGCCGGCAGGTCCCGTCCGTCCTGGTGCTGCTGATCTCGGCCACGCCCACTGGGTTCTCATAACAGCCGAGGCACCCGATGGTGCTCTGCTTCCGGCCCGTCGCTTGTGTCCAGCCGGGGCCACCGTCAGGGTTCTTGGCGAAGCTGGCCCATGACCGCAGCATGTACCGGCTCAACGCCTTTTGTTCCTCCGTCGAGGGGGCGTACTTGTCGTATATACCATAGGTTCCGAACACAATGGGGATTTCCGAAGCGTGATACGCGCCGACGTTGTCGATGCCGTATTCCGGGAGTATGAGAGGGGCTTGGGTATTCGGGAACGTTGCATTGAAGTAGTATCGCCAGGTAGGGTTGTCAGCTCTGACGGATGCCTTTGTCACGAGAGCCGCGGGCTGGAGTAGTTTTCCAAGTCAGCTTGATGTATTCTCCATGTGGGTAAAGAGAGGACAGGAGGAAGGAAACGCGTCAATGGCTGGCGGTGGGCTTGGTAAAGGCTGCGGTTTGTCAACTTACACAAGTATACAACACATCTGTGAGAGTTCTCGACAGAAGGTTGAATAAAACCAATGTCACTCCTCGAGACACAGGAGCAAGGAATCTGTTGATTACCGTCCCTAGTACATTCCCCAGAACCTCTTCGACAAGGCCGATTGCGGCCGCGTCGCTTGGGAGGTCGCGCAGCTGTTTCACGAATGGCTGCACGAAGAGAGATCCTTCAAGGCCGTTTGAACCCAATAGTATGGGAACGGGGGCCGCCTGGCCGGATTCCCGTGCCTTCAAGAGCGGCGTGGGCTTCTGTGTGACACCATCGTTGATGGGAGGGAACGGAAGAGAAAGATTTCTGACAATGGCTTTAATCTTGAAAGGGTCGGCTGCCTGGACACAAGCCAGTTCGCTATAGGCTTTATTGCAGCCGAGAGCGTTGACAAGATTCTCCCAGCTCACCTCGCCGTTACCTGGTGGGGCCGGACTGACACTGGCCTGCCCGCTCTGGAGGATAGCGGCTCGGTATGGCAGAGGGTGTGGCGGCGAGAAT